GGCCAACCGGCAACTTTCCAGCCACGGGCGCAGATCCTTAGCCACAGTGCCACCACTCTGCCAGAGCTCAGTTTGTTCCAGGAACAGAGCACTGAGCTGCCTCTGTCTTCTTCCCCTCTACAGTGGCTCAATGAACCAGTTCATCGCCGTCTACAACTCCAACGGAGACGTCATCAGCAACATCAAATACTACGATGGGTTCATGGGACAGAGGATCGGGGCCATCAGCTGTCTCGCTTTCCATCCTTACTGGGTAACCCTGATACTTGGCTGCGGATCTTGCCTTTGCTGTTGTCTCCCCCTTGTGTTAGCTGACCCTAAAGCTGGTATCCCCAGCTGAGCATGAGTCCCTGCCTGACTATCCAAGTCCAGCTCCCTGTTTTCCTTGGAATGCTCACAGCGATGGATCACCCTCCCGGCGTAACCGGTCACCGCAGCCGGAGAATCCAGACAGGAAGTGGCTGCGGGGCTTCCTCTTGTTTGTAGCCTGTCTTGCGTGCGCTGGTGTTCCTGGTCTTGTTAAGGGCGTGCCCAGCTGCTCGTCCACACGGCCGTGAGTTCTGCATCCATGTGTGACCTCGCTGTTCTTCTCTCTCGCAGCCCCACCTGGCGGTCGGCAGCAACGACTTCTACATGTCCATCTACTCTGCGGAAAAGAGACTGAGATAACGCCAGCACACTGGCCCCTGCCTCACGAACCCCCGAAAACTGATGTAAATTACTTATAGTGTACATATCCAAATACCAACTTGAATGTCTAGTGATGGCTGCTGCTACTCATAAATTGTCATTATTATTATATTATTATTATTATTATTATTATTATTATTATTATTATTATTATTATGAGCTACTGATTGTAGATTTGGTTGTGCTGAGGAGCGTGTATATTTATTTGCCTATACAGGTTATAGAAATATTTTAAACCACACAATGGGGGTGCGCTGCCTTTGTGGGTTCCTTGCTGTGTGATCCGCGCCTGTCCGAGGACGGGGGGGGCGAGGGTTTGTCGCTTGCACCCCCTGAAGAGGGCGTGGCGCGGAGTGGCGGGCGGCCTTGCAGTTTATCGTCCCGCTGGAGGCCCTGCGAGGGGGCGTGGCACACGGCAAAGCAATAAAGTGTCAAATTGACAATTAAGACTCCCACTGTGGCACAGCCTTATCACTAAGTTACACCCGATGGGGATATCTAGTATTGCGCCCTCGTGTCTGAAATAACTCCAGTAAGGACTCGGGTTGCTCTTGAACCAGGAGATTCCCTTCGGATAGCTGTTTGAGCTATGAAATTGTACTTCAGCCCTTTTCACCTTTTATTGTTCTTGTTCTTGTTCTATCCCGCTGTGCTGACGTTCACGCTGGGATGGTATCGGGTTTTGCTCCAGGGGTGTTTTGACAGCAGAACTGTGATCGAAGGGGAGAGTGCCCCCGCCCCCACAGTGCCCCCCAGGCCAATGGACGGGCCCCGTGTGGAGGAGTGGCCTGCGCGTGATTGGCTCTCTCGGGGTCCGTCCCCTTCCTGGTTGGGTTCCTGCGCCCCTCTCAGGACCTCCCGGAGCGGGCAGCCGCGAGAGAGAGAGAGAGAGAGAGCGCAGCCGGTGGCCGACTCCCCCTGCACCCGTGGGCGATGGGAGTGTGGCACTGCCACCCAGCCGCTGCCAGGGAGTTTTAACACACCAGCATTGCCTTCCTTTCAGGGTGGTGGTTTTTTTTTTCCTGCGTCCTCCTTCCCTGTTGGGCTGTTTCGTGCCGACCGCAGAGGGCCCCCTCTGCCGCGTGTGACCTGGGGGAGCCCGGGTCTGCGTCTGACCCCCCCCCACCCCACCCCGGCCTGTCGGATCACGAGACAGACCTGCGGGCCTCCCTGCAGCGCTGCACAGCGGGCCTGTGTGTTGCGCAGAGGCTCGTATTCTGGACCTGCTGAGGACGCCTACCCCTCCCTCCCTCCCCCCTTCCGATTAAAAGGGATAAAGGGATATTGTCTTCTACGAGCGACGGACACGCTTTTTTCCGTTGTTGTTGTTTTTCCTTCAGAAGACGGGGGTTTCATTGCGAACGTCCGTTTGTAGGACGAGGATGACCGAGCAGGAGGTCTCGATCCGGTCTGTGCGCAGGAGCGGAGGCGACCGCGGAGGCCGTGGCGCAGGGGGAGGTCGCCCCGCTGCCCGCGGCTTCCCTGCGAGACTCGGAACCGCACAGACTGGTGCTTTCACACCCCTGCTTTGTCCCGACTGACTGTGTGCGTGCGGGGCTCCACGTTGGATCTCGTTGTCCAGCGGCGTTCATATTCAGCTTGTATCACGTATATTAATCTGTTAATTGCATCTCTTTGGGTGTGCTTTGTATGTTTTTGTTTTTATTATTGGAGATTTTCTTTCTTTTTTTGGGGGGGGGCTTTTTAGTTTTTGGCTTTGTGAACCGGACTCCTCCCTGGGCTGTGTAGGGAAGACATTAGGGGTGAACAGGGTGATGGGCCACGCGATGGCCTTGGACTTCTTCAAGCGGTTAGGCTTCCCAGTTTTTTTAAAATGTGGTAAAAATCTTTCATCAGTTCAGATATCTGCTTGGCTTGGTGTCTCTGTTTGACTTGTCATAGTTAGAGAGGATACTAAAGGCTACTAAAGGAGGCCCACAGACTGGCCTGGCCGCCAGCAACACTTGGTCTGCTGTCTAATCCACGTATTGTGCTCCACTTCGCACTATCTCCCCCTAGTGGAAGGGGGGTGGCATTACTAGCTTATATTCACAGACAGCACAGCTCCCACTGTCCAGCCACTATGTCCTCCTCTGTTAAAACCTGCTGTGAGACGTTTTAACATTTTAGAATAAGAAAAACTAAAACATATATATATATACACACGAATGATTTAAAAAAACAATCAGGTGTTCTCCTTGGCTGTAGAGACTGCTTTGTTGAATGTGGTTTGTAAAACAGGAGAAAACTCGGCAATGAAATAAACCAAATACACACGAAACCTTTTTCACGCCTGTTCCTTGGTTGCGCGCCAGTGCTTGGGCTGAAGATCCTGCCTGTCACACAGTGGGCTTGACCGCGTCTGCTGAAATGGAGTGAAAGTACCGGGGAGGCGCTGCCCTGTATGTAGATTTTGCTACCGTTGAAACATTTTATTTTTTTAAGCACATCAATGAACAAAACCCTCCACCCTTCAAAGCTCTTTGTTTAAGCTTACGCCAGACACTGTAGATTGTGTTATCAGTCCTGTGTGTCCGGCAGGCGCTTAGTAGTTTCATGTCGGATAACTTTCATTTCATTAGCTTTGTTTCTCTATTCAAAGTCTGGGATCCTTGAACTACACAGCCCTCTTTTATTTAGGCCTAAGGTGGAGAAGGGAGGCATCAGTGAAATCTTCCTGCTGCATACTGGTACGTTATGTCAAGAGGGAGATTACTAACTCTTTGCATTTCTGAGGGAGTTTCCTTTGTAGAAATGTTAACCCACTGCTATCCGTGCTCGTTGCTTTCAGCGCTCAGAAGAATGAGGTACTGTATAAGAAACACTTGGAAGAAAGTGCATGCCATACACCAGAGGTTCACCAGTGTGGAGTGTGGAGCTTCTCCGGTTCTCGGGACCTTTTAGCACCCCAAAGTGCAGGAGATCCCCCTGGAAGGAGTGTTGGGTTGTTGTGGGGTCACAGGGAGCAGAACACCCCTGAAATGAGACCAGAAGGTCAGGAATGGACAGAGCATGAACTCGGCAGAAGAGGTAATGCTCTTCTTCACATTTCCCTCAAACTGGTTTTGTCGTGTTGGGGGTGTGTAATGCGAAGAGCAACACACACACACCTGTTTTGCTTTGCAGCAAGTGGCAAAGCTGTGAATGCAAAAGTAATCCTTGCTAGCGCCCTTAAGTCGCTCACACTTTCATCAATCATGTTTGCTAGAATCAATAGTGTTTGTAAGAAAAGCAATAGTTCCATCAAGCCAATAAGATGAACAATAAATCCCCCCAAAATGCGATTATTAGACCAGATTATAGAAGTGTGCCGAAATGCAGAAAAAAGGTCAACGTTGCTCTGAATGTTGGTTGCAGGGGTGGCTCAGGCAGCGACCATATGTCTAATCTGATCCCGGTGCATGTGAGCAGAACCTACCCCAGCCTGACTCTATTGCAACCCTCTCCTCTCTGTGCTGGCGCGGAAAAGTCCAATCCAGACAGGTAACTTGTGACTTGTGCCTGCAGTTGGGTTTTTTTCCCCCATTGTTAATACACCGAGCAAGCAGCAGATGGAAGCCCCTTCGACTGAGGCTTGCCTTGTCATTCCCACACATGGCCAGTAGAGGGGGACCAGGTGTTTAGTTTGAAGCCAGCTGGATGGGCATCAGAGACGCAGGAGTCCAAACACAGCAGGCACACAGGAGTTTGACCCTGCTGAGCAGGAGGCTGCTGCCATCTCAGGACACGGGAGGGTGTTCAGAACGAAAGGGCAGTCTGACTCATAAACGGAGAAATAAAAAATAACTTGACCTCCCTCACTTCTCCTTTCACCAGCCCTACCAAAGACATCATAGATGCACAGACAAGATACTCTTTTCGCACTTCAGCTAATAGTTCCTCACGTGGGTCGACTACACCCTTAACCGTCTTCACATCTGAAACCACCAGACCAATTTTCAAAGAAGCAAATGGTCACGGGATCACTACCAAATATATTTTCAGAAACATACTTCACAGTGTCTGTTGTGTTAGACCGTGGGAACATATGTACATGCATGTTCTCTTCGCTCTCTGATGCAATTCTTAAAGCAGGAGGGCACAGGTGTAAACCGCGAACAGGAAGGACTGCTTTACACAAAGGGTGGTGGGAGCGCGGAACAACCTACCCAGCCACCGTGTGGAAGGCATTAGCCTGGGCTCTTTCAAGCACTACAGAAAAAGGTATCCCTTTAAAAATATGTAAGCTATATATTAAAGTTATTTTTAGTCAACACTATAAAAGGAGTGAACTTATTTTAGTGTTGGTATTTGTGTCTCTTGGTCATGCAAATAATATTCCAATTTAAACAAGCGAGGGATTGGGAAAACAATATAGGATTTAGAGGCTGATGGGCAGAAACAAGTGGGATCTGCTACTGCTCAGACTGGGGAGGAGAGTGCTGCACATATTCTGCAGTCAGGAGAGAGGCATCCTTTATGGACCAGACCGTCTGGAGAGACAGGGCTGCAGGAGTGTGTGTGAGGCAGGTGGGTGAGGGTGGGGGGGGCGTCTCGGGGCACATCGGGTCCAAAACAGGTTCCTGTGCCGCTGGGGGGTGCGAGAGGAGTGTGCTCCACAACGAAAATCCCAGACTGCGCTGAGCTGGAGCGCACATCCTCAGGAAGCAGCAGTCACTTCCTGGAAAATTCAACAAAGCCAAGAAGGTTCCGAGTGATAACTATAGCCCCCCCGCCCTGCACAGGCTCCAGCCTCCACACACACACACACACGGACTCACACCCCCCTGTGCCAGAGCCTCCCTGCCGCTGCACTCCGGAGCTCGGCTCACTCCCTCCACACTGGTTGCCATTTCAGAGACACCACCACAGCCATGGGTTCTGGGACCAAGGCTCCTGCGCCAGGGTTCGACAGGAGGACTCCAGCCTCTCCCGGGATGAAGCGCTACTTCTTCCTCGCAGTGGTTCTCCTGACCTGTGCGTGCAGACACGAGTGTTATTTTCAGTTGTCTGATGGTTTTGCTTTAGAAATCCTTTTCAAACACGACTGTTAGAAGTGAAATAATTCTCTTCTTTTTTCCCCACCCCAGCTGTACCGGGTGTCAAACCTCACACTGGTAAGTGTGGAAATTTTATTCCTTCGACAGTTTTGTTTTAACCTCAGGCAATTACCATCTTTTTATGCAGGAAAGCAGAACAAAAACACTTTAATTCACTTAGACAGGACAGCCAGCTGAAGCACCTTATCTCCTCATCCTCAGTCAGTAGTTATCTTTTGGAGTGGAAATTTTCCCAACCTCTGCTTCCTCTGTTTTGGGCTGGGAAAATGTTGTATTTGTGGACGGAAGAACTAGCAGAGGAAAGAGTGAAAACTCACGTTTCTGCTTTGTCAGGGCTGCTGTTTTGTTTTTGCTTTCAAATCTTTTCCTCTATTTTATTCAAAAAATATTTTTTGAATAGTTTTTCAAAAGCACAAGCAAACGTGTTCTAGGGTCACCATGTTGTGTCTTTCCATGGTGACTCTTGAGCTTCTGGGGGTCCGCTTTGTCCAGCGAAGGCAGCTGGTAGCGGCACAAGTGTCCAGAAAAAAAACGTACAAATAATTATTTTAGAAATGAATTTCACTCAACAGTTCACAAAGCCAGGGAGGGGACAAAACTTTTCTTAAGCCGTGAGACACCGACGTCTCATTTGCGCAAAATTAGTACTGAAAGAAAAACAACAAAAAGTCAAAATCCAAAGCTGACGTGTACATTTTAAAGGACTTCAGAATCTTTTTTTTTCTGAGTAGCTACGTAAACCTGTTCGATGAAGGTGCTTAAGAGGTTTGCAGTCTGAGGCTTTGAGGGACATGTTTTTGTAGACTGGTGATCACATGAATTGTCTGAAATGAGACGTGTGAGAAAGAGAGGAGTCAGTTGCTTGATCTGATCCCATCAGCCCATGCTGGTGGTGCAGGAGCCAGGATCCCAAGGGGGTGAATCTCCAGTGCAATCAGGAGGTCGGGTGCTGCTTAGTGTTAAACAGTGGACTCTGAGGCTCATGTCGAAGAGAGCAGGCAGTGGGGATACAGTTCATGGGCCACTCCTGTTCGCTGTGCTACGGCCTGGCCGCTGGTGTTTGTGGCTTGGCTTGCTGTGGCCCTGGGTGGGACAGGATACTAAAATAATGCTCCCTGTGCCTTGTGCTGCCACTCCCCTGGGGCTCTGATTTTCTGTTGCTCTAAAAAGGCGGCTTTCCTTCCTGAGGCCTCCTCTGTTTACTGATGGGGTCTTGGCATTCCTCTGTTCTCGTAGGAAAGGAATTCTGCTGCAGCACTGAGCGCGCGGGGCTACAGGACAATAGAACCGACCTCTTGCCAGAATTGTTTCGAAACCTGTTTTTTCCCCCTCCTTCGGCATGGTTTTCACGACTTCATGGCAACCTGAGAGCCTTTAGGCGTGGATTTGATTGTGCATTTAACCACTCTATCGTGTCAATCAGCCACAGCAGTATTTTTAAACAATGAGAACATTACAAGCGGTAGCACCTATAAGTCAATTGACATTCTCCCCGCAATATTCTGAACCACTAATAAAGGTCCTAAACAAGAGAAGGCCATTCAGCCTATAATGTTTAGTGTGTTTAGTAGTTACCGTAGTAGCTAATTAGCATTTCAGTTTCTTGTTTGAAAGAAGCCGGGGCATCGGTTTTGAGATCATGGCTGTGTGCTGTAGCTTATTTCAGACTTTCACGCGTTCCCACACAGTTTGCACTTGTGTCTGCGGGTCCGTGCTGCGCTGGTGACCGAGGTCCTCGGGGCTGATCTTGTCGGTGCCTTCGAGGGTTTGAAATACTTGAATCGGGTCCAGTCAATATTCTCTGTTAAAGACCAAGAAGGTTGTTTGTTTAGCCCATCAGTCGAGGACAATGCATTGAGCCCAGGAATGTATCTGGAATAAGTGCGGAGCAGCTATATCGTCTTGGTCATTTTGGAGGGGAAATTTGTCGTCTTTAGCAACCTGTAAAAAACTCCAGCAACCTCTAGTAAACACCCACAGAGAATTATATTGTATGCTAATTGTCCTGTTTTGGTATCACCAGTGTGTCTCACTAGTTTACTATCAGAATCTAGATCACTTCTATAAATTAGGAAGAGCACTGGATCTAATATGTTACCTATTTTTTCTTGGAAAACCCCTGACCGACATTCATTTCAGCCATGAGCTATTTACCTTTCATCAAGCACAGGATTCTCCTTGATTATCCCTGAGAAATGTAACTTCTCCCCTTATCGTTCCTTTACTGTAATAATGCAGAAAACCTTTCATTATTTATTTAGTGTCCATTGCAGTATTCTTTATCAGCTCTTTAAGAAAAAAAATATCCTTTTGTACCAGTGCACAAACATGGGTTTGGTCCGCACATAAATTGTTGTAGAATTTACGACGCATATAAAAGATTGTTAATATTGTTTGTCATAAACAGTAAAAATGCATTTGAAAAAGTAACATGGACTACTACTCATATATTATCAATCTTTTTATGTGAGTAAATACTCAGTAATGCTTTCTATACAATTAGTAAGAAATGATTTGGGGAAAAACTAATAATAATAATAATTAATAATAATAATTGCTTACACTTATATAGTGCTTTTCTGGACACTCCACTCAAAGCGCTTTACAGGTAATGGGGATCCCCTCCACCACCCCCAGTGTGCAGCCCCACCTGGATAATAATAATAATAATTGCTTACACTTATATACACTGTAGCGCTTTTCTGGACACTCCACTCAAAGCACTTTACAGGTATTGGGGATCCCCTCCACCACCACCAGTGTGCAGCCCCACCTGGAGGATGCGACGGCAGCCATAGTGCGCCAGAACGCTCGTCAGAGTCTGTGGCCTACAGTGTAGTCGGTTTTAGGGGTGCTCAACTGCAGTGCTGAGAACAGCTGACATTACTATACTGTAGATCTCCAGCTGGCTTCAGTGCCACTGAGCACTCTGGGCTCTTCTGGACCGTCTTGAAGACACCCACCACCACTCAGTCTCCTACTTAAATTGAAGTTAATAATAATATAACTACTAATGAAAATTCCTTACACTTATATAGCGCTTTACAGGTAATGGGGATCCCCTCCACTACCACCAGTGTGCACCCCCACCTGGATGATGTGCCAGTACTCTCCCCACACACTAGCTCTCAGTGGGAAGGAGAGCAAAGGGTTGAAGCCAGTTCAGACATGGGGATTATTAGAAAGCCTTGATTGATAAAGACCAAGGGGAAATTTGGCCAGGACAAGTTCTTTTCGAGAAACGCTCTGGGATTTTTAATGATCACAGAGAGTCAGGACCTCAGTTTTACATCTCATCTGAAAGATGGCACCTTTTTTAAGATTTAGTGCCCCCCATTACAATACTAGGGCATTAGGACCCACACAGCATCAGGGTGAGCGCCCCCTACTGGCTCCACTAACACCTCTTCCAGCAGCAACAGTAGTTTTTCCCAGGAGTCTCCCCTCGAGGTACTGGCCCAGCTCACGCCTGCTGAGCTCCAGTGGTGAGCTGTAGGGTGACGTGGCTGCTGGTTAAGTGAAGGCAGAAAGAAGCCCGGCACTCACGACTGGCCTTTTCCCCTGCTCTTTGCTGTGCAGCTGTGACGATCAACTCAGTCGGCCTGGTGATCCTGCCCAGCACCAGTGTGGCCAGCGGGACCAATGTCAGCCTGAACTGCACGGTGGACATCAGCGTCCTGGGCAGCCAGCCCCTGCTGTTCCAGTACAAGCTTCTGAAGAACGATGAGGTGGTGTACTCCAAGAACCACACCGAGCAGACTCTATTCTACCCCATTGTGGGGGCCAGAGCTTCTCACTCTGGGAGGTACAAGTGTTCCGTCACAGTGGAAAGCAAGAGCCAGGACAGCCAAACCAAACGCTTAAACATATCAGGTAGGTAAAGTCATTTTTTCTTTGTGCTGTCAACTTTATTTGTGCTGTATATAATTTCCACCTACATACAGTACCTGTCTTGAAACAATGTTACTGTACAAAGTAATTAGCAGTCATTGAGTCTTTCCTACAGTAGGTCTCATGCTAGTGAAAATGATTAATTTCCCTCCTGGGTTCAGGGTGCTTTTATTGTGAGCAGCTGTTATTTTATAATTGTACAACTGTACTGCTGTTCACTCCATCTCCTTTCTTCTGAAGGTGTTCTTGTGTTGGGGCTTCTCCAGCTCCTGGCAAAAAGTAAAGGCTGTTCAAAAGTGTTTAAAAGGTGTGTTCTTGTGTGTCCAGGCCTGCAGAAACCCACTCTGACCCTGAGTGCCCAGACGGTGATGGAGGGTCAGGAGGTCCTGGCAGAATGCAGTGCGCCAAAGGAAACAGGCTCCTTCATATTCTATTTTCACAAGGGGTCCAGCGAGTCCATGCAATCCCATGCAACCACAAACCGCGCAGAGAAGAAAATTGTGTTTCACCCAGGAGAAAGGAGTGCCGTCATTTATTGCAATTTCCGAATCATGACTTTGCCCGAAGCCGGAGAGTCAGACCGCAGTAACGCTGTGAACGTCACCATCCGAGGTAAGTGAACAGCACCAGCCAGTGGAAGGGAGGAGTGGCCTAGTCTGCAGTATCTCTGCTGATCCCTGATCGGCCAAGCGCCCCTCTTCCTAGCCTCTGACATTCTTCCGGTGCTCTTCAATGCTTGTTTTCCAGAATTACTGAAAGAGCCGCTGTTCGTAATTAAACCATCAGAGCACATCATCGAGGGGGACAGTCTGGAGGCAGAGTGCAGTGCCTACCCCCAGTCCTCCGCAGACACCCAGATCCTCCTGAAAAAGGGTGCCAACATACTGAATGTCACCAGGGGCCGTGTGACCTACAGCTGGACCCCTCGGGCTGAGGACGCTGGAGAGTATGTGTGTGTGGCTGAGCTCAGCTTGGTGAAGAAGGAGACTGCAAAAACTGTGAGTGTACAAGGTGAGACACTCTTACTCTCTTGGGAGGTGTTCAGTATCTGCTCCGAAGTGTGCTGTCGACTTGTGGCTAGTCAAAGCTTTAAACCGATTTGATATGTAGTAAAATTCACTACCCATGCAGTGCACAGACATGCTGGGTAGAAAGTGCTGTACAGCCCAGGTAAATTGTAGTACCTGCAGCATGGCGCAAGTTGTGCAAGTGTTGTTATGCAGTGTTTCTAGTTGTCTCTGACAAGCGTGATCTTAGTGTAATCTTTTGAAGTCCGCTAGAAATGTTCAAATCTGTGGTGGATGCGTATGTGAATGCAGATGAGCCCTACAAACTAAACTGTGTTCAGATAAATTTTCCTGTAGGATTTACAGGCCTGCGTTGTGCACGTTGTCAGTTTTTGTCAGGTGCAGGGGTATTAAAGTTGATCTTTGCCAGCTCAGGTCAAGTCTTTCTGGATTTTCTTTTGAAAGCCATGCCTATATAGCCCAGCAGTGGTCTTTTTTTTTCAGTAAGCGAATTAGCTCACACACTGGCAGGTGTGTGGGTGAGTTATATATTCTCAACAAGTACCCCAGTGCTCCAAAGATATCAGCTAAGTAGAATAACACTTCTGCATTCCTGCTTTTGAGAATCTTCTTTTGCTACAGAAATCCTGGGGATTCATGGTTACTGTCAACATGAGAAACTTTGCAGAGAGAATTTCGGCTTCTCTGAAAGTTCCACAGGTGACTTTCAACCAGGTTTATATGAAACTGACCAACAGTCTCTTTCAACCACAGAGCTATTTTCCAGGCCTGTCTTAACACCACAGCCACAGGAAGTAAATGAAGGGGAGAGCTTCAATCTGACCTGCAGGAGCACCAGCATAACAAAAGAGAGGATTTCTGCTGATGATGTGAAGTACAGCATTTACAAGGGCAGTCAGTTACTATCTCCAGAGCATGTCAATGGAGTTTACAGCAAGAAAGGAGCCACTCTGGAAGACGGAGAGTCCTACTTCTGCAACGCTTCAGCCAAAAACATCACCAAGAGCAGCGAGGTCATGCACTTCAAAGTCTACGGTAGGAACCCGCGGTGAATACGCAAAACACACTGCTGCACCATAGCAGGACATGAACTGATCATCTGCCTCATTTTCGGGGGGAGGGCAGTCCACAAGCATTAATTTTAAAAACCTCCGGACTCTATGTCATGCTCTCACCCTTGTGAACGTGCATCATGGTGTTCACTTGTTTACAGTGTTTCTATGGTTTTTCATCTCCTTTGCCATGCCCCTCTGTAAAACAGTCGTGATTTCCCACCGGAAAGGGCAGGGATCCCTCTGCAGTGTTGTTCAGGCTCGGGAGGTGCACTATATGAGCTCTCATTTGTCCTCTCCTTCTGACACATTCTGTCCACCCGTGTCGATGCCTGCTCCCCTGCTGGGCATCGGGCCACACATCTGGGTCATGCAGCCCGATGTGCACGTCTGCAGGGAGCCTCCCCCACATCCCTGTGTAAGCAGCAGGTTGTCTGAGCTCTGGCCTGTTCCCTGAAACCACCCTTACTGCCTCTTCACTACTGTCACAGGTGCAGTCCCCTCCGGGCTGCGTGCAGCTCCCTTTATCCCAGATGTTTCACAAGCATAAAACTCACAAAAGTTCATTATCCAAAGCAGATGGTGCAGACGTCTCTAGGAGTTGGGGGAAGGAAGCTGCTGCTACAGTTTAATGCATCGTCCAAGGGGACTAGTACGTTGCTCAGGGTGTCACAGCGGGCTAGGCAAAGAAATGGGATTTGAACTGGGAACCTTCTGGCAATAAGCTCTTCCCCTCACCCACTTTTAAAGAAAGTGTAACTCCATGAGGTTAATCACCCTTATCATCATCATTTTCTTCTTAACATAACAGGGATTGCTTTCTGAAATCAAGCTGAAATCCTGATAGTAAAAATGTCTCTCTCTTTCTGTTTTTCTTTTGTGACAGCTCTCGTTTCCAATCCCACAATTAGAGTCACTGATGACGTGATCTTAGGTAAAGACTTCAAGATTGAATGTTTCTCTGAGTGGGGAACACTTCCCATCAGTTATACGCTGCTGAAAGCCCACGAAACCATAAATACTACAGTACAGAGGCACAGCAGGGATCGCGCTCTGTTTCCTGTCAGAATAAAGAGGAAGGAAGAAATTGCGGAATTCAAGTGCGAGGCTCAAAACCGAGGCCCCCACTCTGTGAAGCAGAGTGGCATGCTCAACGTCCAAGTGATAGGTGAGACAGTACTGTACTTCACAACACCTTACAATGTCATCCAAAACTGTGCGGAAATCGGCAACGGCCATCAGTTTGAAACCATACCTATGACTGCATGCCAATTCATCCACCGTTTCATTTAGCTGACGTCTTTGCCTAAGAACAAATCATAAGGCTCACCCTGTTGTAAGATTTTTCTGTTCAGCACTGGGGCGCCTTTCCTATAGTTTCTCACATTTTCGTATCTGATGACTCTCTAAGGGCGGATAAAATATGGCAGCTTGGACTCAGGCCTGTGTGAGTTTCCTCTCGTCAGAAAACTCTGTGATGAATTACCTTTAAATCTTCATAAAAACCTTGGCCATTGACACAGCAAAATTACTCACAGAGCACATGTGACTTTTTCTCACTTTCCTTGTAATGTTTGGAATCTGGGTGCAAATGCCTGTGGTCCTTCACTGTTGTTATTGCCGCATTTTAGAAAAAAGTAACCAGCCTATCTGTACTGTTCTGAGCTGCTGCCCATTTCTTGTTTGTCTTTGCTTAATGATGCACGATGATGCAGTGTAAAATTTTACTGGTAGATTTGACTACTGCAGAAGATACTGTATTGTACTTTACCTCTGCTGGCTGATCGTATTCAGAAACAGCGGGGTTAAATGCATTGATTCGGGGACAGTAAAAGCACGAGAGCTCACTTTCTTAAGCAATCTGTCAGTCTTATTATATTTACTGTATAAAGCATCTCAAGCCACTGTACAACAATTCATCAAAATAAACTGATGTGGCAAAGTAAAAATTAAAAGGAAAACCAAAAAGGACTTTAAACAGTTAAAAGATTGTGTATGAAGTGAAATCTTCAGCTGATTTTCACAAACTTTTATGGGCTCTTGAAAACAGTTCCACAGTTTAGGCACAGGCACTGACAGGGGCTCGGTCACCTGAGTTAACCTGGGCTAGCCAGCATCTGCAGAGGGCACGGACAGATCCCTACAGGACCCCTCGTCACAGTCAAAATGCCAGTTGGGATGAATTATATCTTTAGCAGTGTTTCTATTATTTCAGTCTCCTGAATCTAATTTGGAGCTCCTTAGTATAAATTCCTCACATTTCACATTTTGTTGCAGGCTGAGAATAGGCAGCACTATTTTCCACAAAGAGTTATGAGGGTGCAGAACAGGTTTCTCAGTCACCTTGTGGATTGTGCTGCTACCCTGGCTTCTTTCACAGCTGGATGACACCTTTGGATCAGTTATCTTCTAACTATTGAACGGGCTGAAAAAGCTGAATGGCCTCCTCTAATCTGTAGACCTTTTTTTGTTCTCCTCACCAAATCATCAATGGACTGAAATTAATGGGGCAGGAATCTAAAGTGAGGGGGCCTTTCAGCCACAATCTGGTAACATGCGTAATAGAAAGTACACATGTTCCCATACAGAGAAAACTGACAAAATGTGGGTATCTGCTTACTGTATAATTTTATAAATGTACAGTATGTCATTATTCTTCACTAACACAGTTTGTATAAGAACCGGCAACATTTAATACTTGATAGGATCAAACTGCAGCCCCATGTGAGTCTCCCTCCAGCCCCTTCTGACAGCCGTCGGTAAAAGAAAAACTGCCTCTGCTTTCCCCCTCACAGAGCCAGTATCTGCAGCTGTTTTAACAGCCCTCCCCAACATCGTGGAAGGCACGAACACGTCTCTGTCCTGCGCTGTGCAAAGCGGGACGCCGCCCATAACTTTTAAATGGTACCAAACTGGGAATAGGAAACCCCTGCACACCAACTTCAGTACCAACAATGTTGGAATCTACACCTTCAGAGCCAGCAGGGATCAGAGTGGGACCTACTACTGCACGGCCACAAACAGAGCCCTTGAAACCAAATACAGCAATCAGACGGCTATATCTGGTGAGGCCTTGGTCTTCTCTCAACACTCTTACTTTCTAGTCTGTGCAAATGGAATCTTTGTGTTAAATGCCAGGGAGACCATCTTTACATGACAGTTCAGTTTTGATGAGCACATGAGAGGCTGCATTAAGTACCAGATATTTCATACATGTGGTGTTACTCTGCTTGCTGTTAAAATTCTATAAATGTATGCAATGCATGTTATGATACTGTTATATGTATGCAGTCTTGCAGTTTCTGAGTGCTTCTGCAGTATCTTGTTTGCATCTCCAGTAGTGTACAAATTACATCCACCCTGTAGGACGGCCCCTTCAGAGTTAAAACGAGTGGCTTTCTCCAGGGCACTCAGACTCCACAGACGTCTCCTTCGGGTGACTCAGTCCTTGCTGTCATGGCTGTCGGGCGCTCAGACACCAGGCAGGGTTCGAGAGACAGCAGTGTTAGCGACCTGCTGGTGAAGTTAGAGAGGCAGTGCACTGTGCTTGGCATTGCTCCAGCCTAACGGAAAGCTACAGGACCCAGAGATAACTCGCTGGAATCTGAGCGGCTGCTGCAACAGCGCTGTGAAAATTGGGGAAAAAAAACACAGCTTCACATCAGCGATGCCATAGAGTCAAGGGTGGGTATTAGTATTCACCCAGGCAGGGACTTCAGGCGTGCTTTTAACTGAGAGCCTGACACATCCTGCCTCCTCGCTGCCTCCTTTGTAGTTTGTTCGCGCGCCGAGATCAATGGGAGAGCGCGCGACGTGAGAGCCATGAGAATACCGCCGGGGCCCCGAGGGGCCCGAGCTGCAGGAACGGCCCCGCTGTGGCAAGCTCTCTCTCCCAGATCCAGCGCTGCCCTTGGCCAGAGAATTGCACAAGCTGTGCAGAGAGGCTGAACCTCCTTCTCTCCTCTGCAGTTAATTTAGCGGAATGGAAGACGACGGTCATCGCTGTCGTCACCGTCCTGATGCTCGTCTGCGTCGCTGGGTTCTGCGTCCTGTGGTTCAGGTCCCGGAAAGGTAAAGACACAGCTCTCCTTTCCGCATGAACGCCGAAGAGCGCCGTGGTATTTTTGTAACTCTTGGTTCTTTCTTTTGCATAGCTAAAAAGGAACGGGATGCAGAACTGTCAGTGTGAGTTGACTGTTTTTATTTTTTGGTTTTCTAAATATATTCATTTTGATCCTTGGTTCCTAGAAAAGTCTTTTTAATGGTACAGCTTGCAGGTTAAAATAAAACACAAACTATTTCTATTTTGTTATTATGTTAGGTTCACTGCCAGGTGGGCTGAAATTGACAGATATTTATAAGCCTTAATCTCTTCCACGAGATGCTACCAGTGACTGCTTCACTTTCTGTGACAGCTGTCAGAGCTAGTTACTGTGTCAACATGTGCCTGCAATTGCGTTTGTTTCTCAATGTCTTGATAAGGACTCAGGGAATCTATTCTACTCCCTGAGAGTCCCCTGTCTTTCAGTCAATAATTCATTCAATTAACTAATTAAAATGTGAGCTAGGTGGGATAAAAACAGGACGATCTGGAGAGACTCTAGGTTTGTAGGCTGCTGTCTCAATGCATAGTGATTCATGTTGTAATTGAGAGAAAACTCAGAACCCTTTGTTGCTTTTTTAAAAATTCCAGTGATGACTTTATTTTTACCATTTCTCAGAAAGCCTTCGAGCCCTACAGCAGATGAACCTTTAGCAGTGAGTCTCACCAACGAGACAGAAGTTTATAATGCTCACAAAGGTAGCACAGTTTCCTGATGTACTACTACTGTGTGTGCTAACAACCACAACAGCATTTCTACATGTACTGCCTGCTCTCCATCTCTCACTCATTGTAGTGTCCATCTGGTTTACCTTCTGGTAACTCTTTCTGTCATTAACGATGCATTTAATCATTCCACGGCTCACCTAAAAAAACAAACACTTTTGCTTCAAAGAGATGAAAGGAAAATTTGGCATCGAAAATATTTTAGAAATTGCATTCCCAGTCTGTGAATTAAGAGACCAACTAGGACCTTTTTATGTGCTGGTTGTCTCAATGCATGTGAGTGATTATCTGGTAGAGTTTCAATTGAGTGAAATTTAGTTGTCATGAGTTGGAAAAATGCTGCCGCTGCCCTCCTGTTTTTCTTGTTGCTGAAACAGATAGCACTCTCAGAGCACCCACCCGTCCAAGAACGACACATCCTGTTCCAGTGCTGCTGGCAGAAAAGAACAGCATGCAAAATGGATCTGGTTTTTGCTATTGTTGTTACAAATGGGAATTGAAAGAACAATGTAGGAGCTATTGCGCACTTGACCTTCCTGCACACTGTAAAATGAATCTTTTCACCGCCCTCTAAGTAGTGTCTTTTGAAGCTGTCGGCAGAGTGCGGGATATTGATGTGATATGTGGTTGGTCTCCTCTGTGGGTATATCATGGGCAAAAACCCCCCATCTGCTTGCAGGCGCCGTGCCACACTGTGATGTCACTGAGGGGAAAGCGGCCAATGGAACTCGAGATAGTATCGCATCATTTCCTGTCAACAGCAGCAGCAGGAGCAGTCGCAGTAGCCCTGTCACAGTGTAGTGGGCGGGGCCTCAGCCTGGCCCGCCCGCCCTCGTACCTGCAGTGCACGCCAAACATTCACGAGAGGCCTCAAGGACCGCCCAGAAATCTGCCAGAGAGAAGAGTACAGAGAGACGGTTTTTTTTTTTGGAAGCCTCTTGAAGACATTGTTGTTGTTTTTCTTAATGTGTTATTTGATTATTTTTTTTTAAAGAACTGTTTGCTGACTGCAAAGCAAGGCGTTGAAGCCGTGAGGCTCATCTCGCCTCACAGTGTGGATTGGCCGGGCTGTGAGCATCTCAAATTCTCTCTGAACCTCCCCCCCACCCCGCACCCTGCACAGAGCCAGCCTCTACATCCACTTTTACACATGGTGTTGCAGGAGGGTGCTGTTAAAACATAATCTGCTGCAGGTGCACGTTTCTTGCGTATCTGTTTAATGCTCAAGGAGTTGGGAGACGTGGCTTTTCAAAGAGAAAGTTATACTTCACATAGTAACATTACATGCAATGAATAGATTGTCAATGAAACTGCTCACTTTTTTAAATGATTTTCTCCCCACTTCTTATTCATTTAAAACAAATCTCTTACACAAGTAACTTGTAATCGTGTAAAGTCACACAGTGACTATATGCAGTACATATACACCTACAGTACGTACATATTAACAGTATGTATTCTAGGATGACAGTTACTGTTTAGAGTTGTCATATAGCACATCTCCACTGACTGGCATACTGTCTTACGAATCACTTGTAATCACTTTGTTTCTGATGTCTGTGGCTTCTGTTCTATACATACTGTAGGAGGGTCTGATGTAATTAATACTGCCACCAATCTGTCCTCCTCTCTGCTGTCCCAGGGACTTGTCCTGTAAATTCATCTGAACGGAGAGTGTATATATCTTTCATTATGTCCATATTAAAAGAAACACATATTTGTGTGTATATATATTGCTTGGTGAATATGATTTTAGAATAAAAGTTTTTGTTATTTTTGAGCCAGATCCTTTTAAGTGCTTTCTTTCTCATCAGCACTAAGATACATTACAGTGGAAAGTTTCGTGGACCATAATGTAAACCTTCATGAAGTATAAGCATCTCTGCTCTGCCACAATCTTTTTTTATCGATTCTTTTCTAGTCTCTCCTCTTCTTTTACACAGTTTGTACTTTGCTCTGTAAAACATGGGTATGATGAGCGATCAAACACAATAAACATTGTGTTTGACCGCTCTCTGGTATCTGTGGTGTGCATAAGACAACATTCAGGATGAACAAAAAGTACCGTACAGGAGTTTCTTGTTTCGCTCCTGTTATTGTCGTTATTCGCTTTATTCTTTTAGGAATGCCGCAGTGCGCCAATCTCGCCGCCAGCAGAGCCCTGACAATGTTTCTGCTTGTTTAGAAGCGCACCTGTAGCACAGCCAGACCCAGCCATGAAGTGTGAAGCCTGAACAAAGTTTTTTTTTAAAACAATTATTTTATCTGGCTTATGGTGGTACTGAGACATTGTCATACCTGAACGTCTTAATTAAAACTGAAATGGGCTTTGGAAGTGACCAGTAACACTCCCAGGTACAGGTTTTATTTGAGTTTAGAGTGCTGCTAAAGGAAATACATTTGCCATTATAATAAGAGCCTAAGCCAATGTGACCCACAGAAATTTGAAGAGAAGCTCTGTAGATGGGAGCTCTGGTTGCAGGCCTGTCCTGTTCGTGCTGTCTGTCCTGTTGTGAGCAGGAAGGGTGCAGCCTGACCGTGGTCCATCCTTGTGGTTGACGTTTGTGCCGTACAGGGTGTGCCATTTCTATCTGACACCTGACACCAAAAGAAGGACGTTTTATCCCTTGATAGAATGTCACAACAACTTCATTGTGTTAATGACAGCTTGTAATCAACACCAGCGGTCATGAAGATCATTTCCTATAAAATGGAATTTATAGGAAGTAGACCTCTACAGTAAGAAGTAGAATATAGTACAACAAAACTCCCAGGTTTGTACTTCAATGAAATTAAAGTTTGAGTTTGTGGTTTTCCTTAACAACTTTTATTTTATTACACAAATAAATGTGGCAGATATAAATGGGACCCCCTGTAGAGAGACTCACCAGAGTATCATACATGACACAAACTAATCCCAGTAACACGTGTGTGTGCACAATAACATTGAGAAAGGGACAAGACTAACTGCAGCTTATCCTGCTGTGGCTTGGGGTGGTGTGAGTGTGGTTCAATGCAGGCCGTATTGAGCAGGTGGCCTCTCTCAGGGCTGCTGTGGCTGTCCCAGAGCTCACCGGCCTGCCTCCTACACGAGGCTCGCTCCTAACCTCCCTCTGCTTGCCCTCGCAGCTGGTCCTGAGGCAGAGGGGGGAGACGCCAGCTCCTCGCTCGTGGAGAAAAGGTCTGAGCCAGGTGAGCCTCCCGTTCCTGCGCGACAGAGAGAGCACTGTCAGCCCGCCTGGTACTGTCAGCTGATCACTAGAACAGGGGCTTAGTGAGCCACCTCGTCCACACTTAGTACATGGAAGGAGAAGCAGGCATGAAGAATCAAGGCTTTGAGTCCTTGTAAAGTCTTGAGTAAAACACAGATCTTTTTCAGTGTGCAGTTTCCTTGTGTGCGCTCCGCTAATGTCCCCAAACGCATTGCCCTGTTCTAAAAATATATAAACAGCAAAACTGTGTTTTTTTTCCTCTCCTGCATATGTTTTTTTGTACAGTTTGTTTGTCTGTCTGTCTTGGGAACCTGGCACACACCAATCACAGAGCTATATGTTGCTGTGTTCCAGGGTCAGAGGTCGAGGGCTGTGCAGACACACCCAGCGAGCCTGACGTTGAATACACTGAGGTGATGCATCGTGACCCCGACCCCTCCAGAGGTCAGTAGTCGTTCACCCCACGCCTGCAGGGCTGGCAGACTGCAGCCTGTGTGGCTGGTAGTGTCCACAGTTCTCCCTCCTCCCTGCAATTTACGCTCAAACCCCCCTGCAGGTTTGCAAGATTAGACAGCCCTTCCTCTAAGGCAGAAGACAGCACAGAAAAGAAGATTACACAATGAATGTCATCCAGCCGTCTTGTCACAAACTGGGCACAAGCAAACTGTACCCCAGAATGGATGAGATTTAGGATTGTCTCAGCATCCACTCAGCCTTGTAACACAATCATTCTCAATTATGGTCCTTAGAGGAACAGGATTTAGCTCCATTCTTAACCACAGGCCGATTGATTTTATTTTTCTACTGGGGGGGGGGGGCAAATTTGTAAAATTTCTTTCTGCCTTTAAAAACTCACATGGGATGTGTAATTAATATTAGTCCTGTATCAATTCATGAGACTCAGAACCGCCCTGCCTCAGAGGTGTCTTCTGACATTCTGCAGGGGGAAGGAACGCTCATTTTGAGCATGTCCAGTAAAGAGTACATCCAACAATGGGCAAGGACACACTCATTATATCCACATCCATAATGAGTGTGTCCAAGAATCATTCCCACCAGTTTGTTCATCCTCAGCTGATCAACTAGTAAGTCAATCAGATGGGCCATAATTGACAAGCAAACAAGCTAAAAAGAGGCTGCAAAAAGCTCTGTGTGATGGAGTTACTGGAAACCGTACCCCTGAAGTAGGGTCATTCTAACACTGTGGACTGACCAAAGACACAAGCTGTCTTCATCAATTAGTCCTGGAGAGGAAGAGCTCAGCTGAAATAAAAACCAACAGACACCGTGTTTCTCCAGGATCTTTGATGGGAACCACTGTTGTAATTCCATAACTGCAATTAGACCCAAAGTTCTCTTGGCCCCAGGACAGTAATCTAGGGCTGTCATCGAGAAGATCACACTCCTGAGGACGTTCCTTGAGACAGAGGCTCAATATTTATAATCAAACAAATATCAAATCATTAGCTACATGAAAAAGAATATGAGAATTTCAGCTGGAACAAAATTCAATAAAGCCCTTCTGTTTTCTTTGTCTGAGCACGACAGATAAAGAATCGAAACATCGAACAATCACAGGGAGGGAACAGTAACAGAGTTGTAATCTCCTGTTTGTCTATTGCACTTTATTTGAGCTTTTTTCCTTTTAAGTTGAGCTATTTCCTGTATACACTTTCAAAAGGGGATTTCTTCTAAAAACGTTTTTTCCCCCAAAAGCTGATAACAGAAATAGCTGATACCCTCATTCTGGGAGTGGTGTAATTAGACAATAATTTTGACATATCTTGAGATCTTTTGTACCAAGCCACATCATACTTGAAACAATCTTTTTTTTGATAACAGGAAGGGCTGAACTAAATACTTGTCTGATAGCTCACACACCTTTGGGCTTTAGGCTGCAGCAGCTGAGTATCTCTGTTTCTGCGTTTTGCAGCTCCAGTTCGGAAGGGCACGGACACAGTCTACAGCGAGCTCCGAACATCTGCCAGCGGTAGGTGTCAGGCACTCACACACAGGATGTGACCGGAAGGCCCTCAAGCTCTCGGCGCCGATCTGCTTCCAGAAGCGGCGCTGAAAGTGTTATAAAATGTGCTAAAAATGGTTAGGAAATGTACCGAGTAGCAGTAGACGGATAGCTAGGCCCGGTGGCTTCTTGTTTTTAGGTTTTATGATGGTCTGAAATTGAAAAGGAGCGTCTCGGCAGTGCAGCTGAGGAGCTGGAGATAGGCCGGTACTTTTTCTCCTGTCGGAAAGCAACGAAACCCACTCTTCACCTCTGCACACGCATCTGAGGGCGATTCTGCCGGGGAAATGGGATGAGAGAGACTGTGTCGGTCCTGCTGTGCTGTTTCAGAGGGGCAGCGTGATGATGTCACGTCCCGAAAGAAAAAGGAGGCACTGCATCTGGAGAACAAAAGCAGCACAGACGCTCCTTTCAACCTCACAAACTGCTAACGGGTTTCATCATTCGTGCTGTTCGTGAAGGGGAAGATTTGCCACGGTTTCTCTTCAGAATTCAAGTTTTACACCATGATTATTGTCCTTTGTTCCAACTGATCTCCAACCCTGTTTTTCCTCCTGGTTCTTGCGTTCCAAGGCCCGGTCATGACTAAGTGACTCATGTCCGAGAGATCTGATTACGAAGGGTGGGGGGAGTGCCGGCCCATGTGGGATTTGAACTGTATTCACAGACTAAAACTCAGAGTTTTGTTCCCTCATCCTGTCTCATTCCTCTCTCCCCAGGTGAGCCCGAGCCAGCGGACTGTGTAAGTACCGTCCCTCGCTTTTTCAGCACAACCATCTTATGTCTTGTGTCATCTTCACTACCAACTCCTGGCACAGCCTTTGTTGAACCCTTATCCTTACATGCTAGGTGGCATGCTAGCTCACAAACTTACCAAGTGCTTCAAAGCATGTTAGACCAATATTTGGTTTACAGAAAAGCGGCTAAATATTTTTTTCATTTCCTTTTGCTTTTGTACACATGTGGTCTAACCGAGGAGAGAACAGAGATTCTAATTAGTCAAAGAGATTCAAAGAGTCTTCACCAGCTGGTAAAAGAAATATAGTTAGACAGAATCTGCAGTTCTCTGAGGATTTATCCATTTGAAGTTGGAGCTGAAATGCTTTTTATTCTGTATGAGTAAGGGTTTTGTTGTTCTTAATAGATATCGATCTTCTCTTTAAGATAACGTGCTTCCTTGGAAGTACAATTACTTACAAAAACAAACATGTAGCTATGACCCCCAGTTACCTGCCATGCCTAAAGAAAGACCAGCGTTTCACACGGCTGACCATTTAGGAAGCAGTCAGGTATGCTCACTGCACAAACTTGGCTCCTGAGACTGCAGGGCACAGTGGGAAGGCATGTTCTGTGTTTCCAGAGCTAGTCGTACAAAGGAACAGGGCTGTGGTTTCCTTCCTTATCGTGGCTGGGAATCTCTCGGAGCAATTTACCTCTCCTGGATCTCCAAAACATCTTCGCGGAGCTGTCTTCACAATGCGTGGTGGGAAGGAAGCAATCAGAGCTCTGCCGCCGCTGTGTCAAACATGTGTTGCGCCTGATTTGGCAAATCCTAGACCACAGTTTGTCATCTAGTGAAACTGATTCCCGTTCTTCGGAAGGCACCAATAGCTCAAGGAAGTCTGTGATTATTGCAGGGCTGTATTTCACAGTCTAGAAGGAGGAGGAGTGGTGTACGTCCGTGAGTGAACTGGGGTGCAATTCCCCATGTTTATCAGTGGTGAGGAGTGAGAGGTCAGGTCGAAGCAGTAATCTTTGGCGAATCCAGTTTTGCCAGAGGTTGGCCTTGGTGCCCCTGTAGGAAACGGGCACCAGTGACTGGTCAGACTGCGCACCAGTCCTTCTCTGTACGGTCTGTGCCCTGCAGTTCTCGAGGCACGACCCAAAGCGACCAGTGGTGCCCTGCGAGGGGCGGCCAAAAAGCCTTTTTTCAGATGGCATGTTTTCCCTCGATAAGCCACCCAGCGGGGCTGAATAACGAGCTATGGGAGTGTGGAAGCGCGTACACATGGCACAGGCGACGCCCTGCAAAATGCCCATGCAAATTCACTCCGGCAGCAAGTGACGGCATTTCCCTTTCCCTTTTGTTTGGCAGGACTCTGTGGAATACGCGCAGCTCAACCACAACAACGCGCACCCCAGAGCGTAGGAGGCCAGGAGGGGGTCCGTGGGCAAACTGCGCCGCCCCTGGGCTTCCCAGCGCGGGACTTCTGCGGCGGGACTGTATTTATTTGTTTAAATATCATGTACTGGCTTGTAAGGACCTGGGCCAGTTAAGGTTTTCAATCGGCCAGGCCTTCCTGTGCTTTTTGTTTTTGAGCGGGTCCCAGATTCTCCGTAGAGGCGCTCCAAGACATTTTTGAAAAAATAAACCCTGGTGCACACTGGCGATGAGTCCCCTCTGGTCCCTTTTGCACGAACAGACCCGCACACTTCCACAGGGCACCCAGCCAGAGGAGAGAGAGGTTTTCACAGCTAGGAGGATGGCAGCAGTATCTGTATTGTGAAAGAACTGCTCACTAGTCTCAGCTGTGCATTCCCCCCCATCTGCCGATGAGACTGGCTACACTTTTTAAATCCCAGGCACGGCTGTGCATAATTACACAGTCACATTTTCAAGCCTCGGTTAATAGCTCCACATCCTGCCTTTCTGACAAAACCTGGCAGAGTTTCACTTTTCCACAGCAGAATATGCCACACATGAGGCTAAACTCCAGACTCTCAGTAAAACACTCGCCTTTCCTCTTACCAGAGGAGGCGCAGAAGCCCCAGCCCGCAACAGCTGCATAGAGAGCCCTCGAGCTCTTGAATGCACAGTGCCTGTGTGTCCCAGTATCCCATGGCTCTTGGCGCTGCTGCTACTGCAGAGCTGCCCATCTCTGCACCTCTGCTGAAGGGCTCCTTTAATCTCCAGCTTTCTGCCGACGGGTAAAGTCTTCATCTTCTCCAGTTAAGCAAGGAATGAGTTCGGTTTGGGAAGAAAGGGCTCGGGGCAGAAGCCAATGTGCACCCAGATATTAGCTCAGGAGCCCCATCTTGTGGTGAGGCTAAAGAACTGCATTGGACCTGCCAAACTGCTCGACACAAGTCGGACTCACGATTGTGTGCTGGGAAGCTCCGCGCTGTGATTTTTAATAGTGATACTGCAGAGGTTAAAGGTGGGATTTTGCGTCTGCTGGCCGGTCAAGTGGGATCCTCTTGCTCCCGTTAGGAGATTTGTTGTTTTAGAGCAACAAATCGCATACTGAGGTATGACCCAGCACGAAACGCAGTTTCTCAGTTGTAACCTTATGTGTTGTTTTAAGCAGCTAAAAAGTATTGTAACGATACCTTCACTACAACAACTTAAAACTGGCTTATAGCCACTCTTAAATTTTCTTGGAACCTGAAGTGCTGTCTTGTGCAGTTAACTGGTAGCTGGATGAGACTAGGAGAATAGATAGATAGATAATACTTTATTAATCCCGTAGGGAAATTGATGTGTTACAGCAGTCCAGCCCAAGACAAGCAAAACAGACATCAGAATAGTAAAACAAAAGACAACAAAATAAATAAAAATAAATAAATACATAGGTGTGTGCAAAATGTGCTGATCATAGTCGCTGTAAAAACAATAAAATTTGTGCAAAATGTGCATAGGTTTATATAGACTGATTTTCCAAAAAGTACAATGGAGCAACATGCTGTCCATAGAGGAGCAAATGAAGGGCTAACAGTCCTCGCCTAGGACAGCGTTATACACCCTGACAGCCGCCGGGAGGAAAGACCTGCGGAAACGTTCCCTTGAACACCGTAGCTGGAGCAGTCTGGTGCTAAATGTGCTCCGCTGCCCAGTAACAGTCCCATGAAGCGGATGAGAGGCGTTGTTCATGATGGCTGTGAGCTTACATCATGAACTGTAGATGACGGTACTGTGCAGTCCACTCTTTTGTCTCTATAAAGGGCGAATTGTAAAACCCTTTCCCAGGAAGTAACTAGGTAGGTGTGATGGTAATTACATGTGCTGAACATTGTTTTGGGTTTTTTTTTTCCTCTTGGGGAGATTTAAGCCTGCTGATTATTGGCCCAGAGGATGTGACCAAAAATAAAGTTAAGTTGAATGTGCTTCCTTTCAATTCTAGTTTAGCATTATGAGCTGGCTACAGTCGTGTAGATGATTCCAACCGGACTTTCCAGTAAACAAAGCATCCCGGGATATTTCCTGATGAGCACCTGCAGTGAGGGTCTGTGGAAGTCTCTTCTCCTGCTCATTTGATGACTGTTGAGTGAAGCTGAAGTGTGGTTCCGATGGGCATTGTTCTGCAGACAAGTGTTTCTCTGCTATAGCACAGGCGTAAAAATCACAGGGACTGGTAACTACATCATTGTTGAACAGCAGAGGGCAGCTCTGTCTCACGTGTGAATTAATGGACTAGTGACACCAAAAAAGGTACTGAAGCAAGATTTGAAAATGCTGACAGTGTCAGTCTCAGACTCGTTCTGGAAACAAGTCCTACAGATGTAAAGTTGCACAAGAAAGATTTCTACTGGGCTGGGCTGTGTGTGGTGCCTGGTCTTCTTCATATCTCAGAAGATTTGGACTATCTTCATTTAATAGGAGAATTCAGTACTACACGCCAATTTAAAACGATACCGATGGATGAACCCAAAAAAAACCTTCCATCAATTTTGATGTGGTAATACACCAATATCGTAACACCAATAATCCTCTATTTATCCAGAGAGGTCAGGTGCGAATTGAGATGCCCGTTCCCAATCACCTGACATAAATATAGATACCTTTACATGTAAATGACCCAAGACCCAAACCCAGTTTCAGATTTGCAACCTATCTCAGTTCTAGGATGAACCTCTAGTAAGGGACAGCATAGGTCAGTATAGGGACTGAATCCTGCAGCTGCCAGCTCAGCCGGCCTCCTCGCACACAGGAAGCTGTGGCCTCACTGCCCCTCTGTTCGGACCCAGAGGACAGGTGGGGAGGCTGACTGACAGGTCATTTAATCCGAGCTGAAAAGACTCTTCGTTGAGAACCGAGCGGAAATCTGACATTCCCACTCCCAGGCGCTCGAGGGTGATTGTGTATGTGTGTGCAAACGCAGCCAGAAAGTCTCAGGCTTTGAGCTTCCTGAGCCACGTCAACCTCAGCAGTCCGTTTTCAGCCTCCAGCACCTCTGCAAGCCTGTGGCCCTTGCGCTGTTGTAAAACACCCAATGAGAACCTGCAGTGTCCGTAAGGGGGGGCGTCTTCACTCTCTGGTTAATGTCTAGTGTGGGCGGTGGCGCAGTCGTTAGCAGTTCTGGACCTGGGGCGCTATGTGCGTGGCGTTGGCACGTTCTCCCTGTGTTCTCCCTGGGGTCTCACAGTTAACTGGTGGGTTCGTTGGCCCTGGTGAGGGTGTGTAAGTGTCTGTCTGTGTCTGTGCCCTGTTACAGACTGGCATCCTGTCCAAGGTGCCCCCTGCCTTGCACTGTTGCTTGCTGGGATAGGGTCCGGCTCCCCCGCAACCCTGAATTGGAACAGTTAGTAAATGGGTGGAGGGAGAGAACTGAGACTGCCCAAACTCATTTCATACAAACTAATCCAAAACAACTACAACATCTGTTTTGCCAGCCATGCTACTGCAGTGCAGGCGTAAGAGTTCCACTGGGCAGTGGAGTATGAGCTTGGGCTGCTGCAGCCCATTGCAGACGCAGTCTGAGGACAAACCAAACTGGAAGGAGCACTGGGCTCCCAGTTCTTCAAGCTTCAAGTTCTTCATTTGACATTTCAAGTGCACAGAACTGCTGAGCCTCTGGGATCTGAACAGGTCAGCGGCTGCAACATGCTTGCAAAAAAAAAACAGCTTCTCAGTTGTGTCAAATGAATTACAACTCAGCCTTCATAAGAAAGTGGTATTAAAAAATAGTGCTGCATTCTGCTATTTGAAGTGACCTATAGTGCTGAAAGCAATATCTTCTTTTCAAGCGAAGCACATTTGCAGAACAGACTTAGATTGTAAAAATCCAGACAACACTACATGTGTAAGATTGCCTTTCCGTTCATGATACAGTGCAGATGACAGGGATGAAAGTTCATGTACAGAAGTTTGATCACAAATGCCAGGCTTGAAATGGGGGTGTTCACGGCCTGAGAAGATAACGGACACAGAACAGCTAGACTGATGGATCTGAGAGAAACGACAAACACTTCTCCTGAGCTGGTGTTTGAAACTCAGTTTCAAACTCTCAATTACCATACCCTTGCAGAACATACAGTGTTGCTAATTCCTTTTATGTTGATGTTATGGTAAACATGCAGAAGCCAGTTCAGATGGAAACATCGGATAACATTACATATAATAATCTACAACAAACATTCTGTCATCTGTGGTGCAAAAGAAAAAGAGTCCCAGGCCATCCTGGATTGTCTCACGTACAAGCTCTGCTTAATGCGAGTCCTAGTTCTGTCTGAATTAATGCTGCCACTCTTCACTCATCACATCGGCTAGTCCCTGCTCACAGAACTGGAGCCAGTGATAGCATGCAGTGCTCTCTGAGCACCATTCTGCTTTCTGGAAGTCCTCTAATTCATCCTAATTTTGTTGCCAGTCATTAAATGTGTTCATTGCTGTGACTAAACCTGTAGAAATCTAATTCCTGTGATAATATGAGAACAAAATACTTTTCTGCAGCACTCTTGATACAGTATGTAAAGCAATTTTATATGAAATAATGCATCAAAAGATAGAGAAGACCTTTAGTCTTTTGCAACAACTTGTCTCTTTGAACTTGATGTGTCATGATATTTCATGCAAGGAACATTTGTTCAGAATACACTTGGAGTAGGTGCTAGCTCAGGTAGTTCAAGTAGAAACAGACTAATTACAAGCAGACAAGTGCAGCTTGTTAAGATCTCTGTTTTGGAGATAATATGAAGAGCATTTCTGTAGAGCAAAGCTCTCTCTTGAAGATTTTTGGATCTCTTTGGTGTCATGAAAAGCATGTTCAATTTTAACTAGAGCTTAGGCAGGACCAAGATCATATTAAAAATGCAAACATCAAATAATAATGACTTGTTTTTTTTGGAAAGAATTCCTTATCATTTGCACAAAAGATTCCTTTGAAAACCCTCTGGAGCAGAGGGGAGATACTAAGCGTGAAAGCAGTTTAAATGTAAACCAGTTTAAATGTTATTATGGTTTTAATAATGCCAGGGATAAAGAGACTGTTCCATGAAGCTCTTTTTCATTATGGATTACAATAACAAAAATGAAAGATACTCCAAAACTTTGAACCCCCGCCGGGCTTGCATTCTGAATTTCTGTCTTAACTTTAAAGGAAATGTAAGACTGTCGCTGGCTAACATTTAACAAAAGACACTTTCAGTGACTTCTCTGGGTTCCAGGCTTGGGGATCTGCAGCTCACCATAGTAACCTCGAGAGCAATACAACTGGGGTCCAAGCTAATCGGCTACATTTTCCATGCTTTATGTTTCCATGTTGTAAGTCACTGGTTTGGTGAGTCGCAGCTTTCCCGAACCCACTTCCATTAGGGGAGGGTTCTGATTACAAATCCAAATCCTGGCAGAGCAACTCCGAATATCTCCATAACAGGCGATCACCCTCACCCCCCCCACAAGCTCAGCTAGACAACATGAGCACTCAGCAAGTCAAAACATCTGCACAAGGAAGCTGAATCGCTGAATTGTCAGCAGTTAAAACTGGTCAGCAAAACAAAAATGAAAAGAAAACACAGAACGCCCAGTAAAAATGCCTTGATACCGTAAACTATCACAACAGCAGTCAGACAGACCTGAGACACAGGCCTGCTGCCCTCAGCTAAACTTTTATCACTGTTGGCTTCAGGGGAGGTGCACGTCCGGATATGGGCCCACCTCATGGGGCTCTTGAATGGTTTCTCATTCATCCCAGAGGATCCCCAAGCACTCCACATCAGAAGGCTCTCAATGTACCCCCCCCCCAACTGAAGTGGAGCCCCACCTGGGCAACACTCTGCAGCCCCACTGGGCAGAAGAGAGGGAGCTGTAGGGAGGCCAGATCACTCAATGCCGGAGTGGAATTCAGCCAGGACACTCCTTCTCCTAGGATCTTTAAAGGCCAAATAGTCTGGATGCCACCCAGCACCTACGGTAGTGTCCAATCGTTTGGAAACAGGGGCCAAGAGGGAAGAGCGCCACCTACTGCTCCACCAACACCTTTCTCCAGAGGTCTCCCCTCCCAGGACTGACCAGGATTCACTTGACTTCTGAGATCTGACAGGATTTGCCTGTAAGGCAGTGACATTGCTAAAATGTTCAAATGTCATCCTCATCTTCCTCATGCTTACAGTCCTTTCAGCAGCGTGTGGCATTTTGTCAAGAAATCCCTAGCCGGCCTGGGAAGCTGTAACAAACACAGGCCACCGGGACCTATAGCCTCAGCGATCCGTTTACGTCCTGGATGCCACCTGCACTCTCAAACGGCAAGATCCCCAGAGGTTGATGTAGGTCTGGCATTTCAGTGAAGGTACGGTGTTCTTACCTTATGTAAACGTTCACTGTCCATTAAGAGAATACCAGACCACTCGAGTTTTGGTTTACTTAGCTCTCTGTATTAGACAAAGCACTAGGTGTGGAGTCTGGCTGCCATGGGCACTGTAAATTCACCTGGTCTTTTCTCTCTCCTGGCTCCATGTGGCTTGTAGTCCACATGCTAATGAGATGTTTTGAGTGTTCGCCATGACAACCTGTCGCTATGGAAATGGAACAATTCCCAGGCAGAGAACACAGGGACAGAGACTGAGAAAGCACTGTCTCCTGATGTTTATTTTTCCTACAGTGAGACCAACATGAATGTCTGCGGTTTGACACTCATGTGCTGCTCAGACAATAATGGTTTTATGTGGGGCAATAAGACTAACTGAACTAAAAAAATAAATAAAACACAAAGTAAAACTATTTTGACAATGCAAGGGGAAACTGTTGTAATGAATTGTAAAGACGATGGCCTTACAACTACATTTCATCACTTGAAAGACTAGGACAGCATAAATCTAATTGTGGCTTTTCACAGTGCAGCGTGTCTCAATGCGACAGCCAGGAGGATCTGAGCACTGCGGATCTAGGTCACAGGAGCTCTCGATGTCTTCCAGCCATCTTAATGTCCGTGTGGCGCCGTGCACAGTTCTATAGCATGTGTGCGTATGTCATTGAAAAATCCCAAGGAAGCAGTTAACAAGGAAATGAACTTTGAAAGTGCTGAGAAGGCGGCGGCAGTGCACGGTCCTCTCTCTGCGTGGCATTGTGGCACTTGGCTTCAGATGTGCCCAAGCCTTCCTGCCTAGAGGAACCGAACCTCACTAGAGGTCAGACAAAGATACACTCTGTACTCCCTTGCCTGTTGCAGCCTCATCAGCTCGTTCATTAAGGAGTTAAGAATAGAGACGGCCACTTCAACCCCAAACACCCACCCGCTCGGTCTCCAGCACAGCCAGTGCTGCACCACGCAGAGTGGTCTCAGTGAAGACAACAGCAGTGCAGGGGCACCCAGGTCAGCATCGCTGCCTCGCAGTGCTGTGGCCCTGGCCTCAGTCTCACACCTGGGGGTGCTGTCCGTGTGGGGTTTGTATGTTCTCCCCATGTTCACACGGTGCTGTGGTTACCTCCTACAGTCCAAAGGCCATACTGGTGGGTCAACTGGCTTCTGGGAAACTATCCCCGCTGTGAGTGTGTGCCCTGCGATGGACTGGCATCCTGTCTAGGTGCCCGTTGCTTGCTGGGATAGGCTCTGGCTCCCCCCGCGATCCTGAATCTAATGAAGTTGTTAGAAAGCTGGGAGAAAAAGAAAGACAAACACGCTTGTCGCCTGCAGAAAGCGGAGCACAGATACAGGCACTCGAGAGAGAGGTCACAGCAGTTAAGCACCGAACTCCAGCAGCAGGGCTTACGGTACATTAGGAGATCATTTATGATTCATTTGTCTCCTTCTAATCTGTGTGGCCTTTACACCACAGCGGTTTGCATCTGTGCGGCCCTTCTAGAATCCTCCAGTGTTGGTCAAGAGAGTTTGGCAAGTTTGCTCGCGGTCTCTTGCTATGGCAGCACTACTGGCCCTTGCCTGAAGCGCTGGTCTGCCCCTGGGCTGTAGCAGTGAGAGGGTGGAGGTGGCCTCCCACAGCTGCCTGCACTGGGGTTGTGACGGTCCGGGCGCTGCACAGCAACGAGGCACGTCTTTCATCAAGGGTTCTGGCGAGTGCGTCTGCAGCCCCAACCAGCCCCCTTGGCACACTTTGATGCACCTTGGAGGACCCCAGTGTGCTCTCGGCTTCCCTCCTTGGTATAATTCCCCAAGGATGCACGTCATTGTCAGAAGATACATCCAAGAAAAAAACAACAGGAGTTATTCAATCTGTTCCAGTTAGGCCATGTGTGGTGCAAAGACTATAGAAGCATAATAGTCCTGGCACACTGTTTCTGTCAAGGCTTGGGTTGAGGCAGTTCTCAGTTATCAAAAAAAGGCAGCCACATTGAACCATTGCAGATTGTAAAATGGTACAGTACAGTGGGCGAGCTTTGTGCTTTCTTTCATTCTGCAGTATGACTGGCTGCAGTTACGTTCGGATAACTGATTTCCTTATGTGGCTGCTAGTGCAATTCTGTCTCTTGTGAATTCCGGGCGAAATTAAAGGGCACATTTGAACAGGCGTACTTCAGGGACATGTGTGACCACGTGTTTGCACACAAGCATATGCAGTTCTGCATGGGGGCATGATGGGTCTTGGCACATAATCACATGAACTTAATACCAAGCATGTGCCGACACTTGGGTTCTCTGGATGCTGGGCTAAGACTTGCCTTCAGCACATCAGCAGGAGACCTAGAGCTACTCACTGGCTGGATAGCTTGTTAATGCGAAGCACAGCAACCAGCCTGCCTGCTCTAGTTACATCTCTGACCAAACTAACTGCAACCCTTGAATTCTGACCCGAAATCATTCTTGAGCAGGTGTTCAAAGAGGAGCAGACTCTGTGTGGCAGCGAGCAAAGTCCGAGCTGCGCACTGTTATGCATATTACCTGTAGACAGGAACAGATGCTGGCATTACAACTACACCGTGTGACTCTAACAGGAAACCTTATTGATTTAATTGCCAGGCAGCGTGATGCTCCATCGTTTGAGAACCAGACTAGTGATTCACTGATACATCCTGATAACATCGTGAAAATTGGCAATTAAAGCTCATTTTTTTCCTATGCATTCAGATCCACAGATTTCCTCACATTTTTTCAGTTTTTTTTCTGAGCACTGAACTGAATCAAAAGGTTATTACATACCCCATCTGTCACTTTATACAATGCCTCTTCCTCCGCACTGTCTTAAGTACATCTTCAGGTCAAAGACACTGTGGGTTTTGAGTTTGTGTTACAGTTTAATGTGCAAATAAAACCCCAGTGTAAATTTCCCTTTACACAGTAATTTGGCTCCAGACATGACTTAAATGAGAAGTGTTAAAACCATTTGTAACAGAATAACAGCTAAAACTCTTCACAGGAATTCAAAACATTATCTACAAAACCAAATTAAAAAGTATGAATTGGATAACACATCAAAGAATACGAGGCAAATAGTGTGACCTTCTTTGTTGTTTGCTACAATCTGAAATTGAGGTCAGAAGTTGTTTTTTTTAAAGAAGTGTGTGCAGTGATAAGGTTCCTCGCTGGAAGTCAATAGACTTTTGATCTTTTTTGAGGAATAGCTGCAGTTTTAAATTATGAATGATCTTCAATACGAAAGTGAGGCTTTGAAAAGCTCAGAGCAGCCACGTGGAGCTCATAACAGAACGAGGCACTAAATTAACAGACCTTTTCTGCAGAAAGGTGTTTACCTGCATTAGCAGAGCTACTACTTGCACCTGTGCGAAGACTGACGTGTAACATTTTCTGAGGGTTGTGCAGTAGCTGTTTGGTCTAAGAGTTTCATGTAGAGGGCTCCCAGCTCAGGCCCTGACTTCATGTTATGCTCAGCACATTTCTGATCACCCTGTTACTCAGGTCCTGTGCTCACTGGCTCCTTCACTAAAAAATAACTGGACACACAAATTGAATGATACTGATGAGGACCGTAAATTAAGATTTTAAACACAGAAACCGTGGTATATCCATTGAGGAATAAGAACAAAATAATATACGGTAGAAGGTGTATGAAGGTTTCGGATTTATTTATTGTATTAGAGCTTTGAATAGGGTTTACAAAATACCTTTTAAAGAACATCCGGGTGTTATCGGACCTAACAGATTTAAAAAAAAAAACTGTCCTTTGTTGATGTTTTATGGAGTTGTGCAGCGAAGCCATTCTGGAACATGCTTTCATTTCCTGCTTTTCTGACTAAGCCATCAGCCAGAAAGGCGTCTTTGTAAATGACCGATATCTCGGCTTTCATTGGCTGTTCCACAGCCTCACGTTGTGTTGCAATATCATTTGAAAAAAAGATTACACTGGCGTGGGCTCACCGGGTAACAGAGGGCGGAAAGTTCCTTTATCAAAAGGAAGCTTTATTTGGTGTGGGGGGGGGGGGAACCTCTTCTTGTATAAAGCAGTAAAACTAATCTGTAACTCAGGGCATCGGGGGCACACATCATTTAGTGATTTAAAAAAAAGGCCAAAGTCACAAGGTGGAGTTGGATAGTCACTTGCTCTAGGAAAAAAAAAGACACAGGGAAGGTTTAGAGACACATATCTGATGAGATACACTGATTCCACTAAAGCAGAGCTCCAACACCTCTGGACACAATCCACCATCAAAAATAAGGTAACTTGGTTTGTAATTCCCTCCAAATGTCCGAGGTATCTGCTTCTATAAGCAATTTTTGAGAGCTCATGATAATATGAAAGCATACAGGATACAGCAGTAGAGCGGTACAGATCAAAATTTGTTACGTCACATCCGTACGGTTGATTGGCCATGATCGTCTTGTCCCACTGTCTTATGTGCATCAGATTCAACATTAACCTGCTAACGGTTAATCTGGATTCAAATTACAACCAAAGCCTTCTCCCTCTACATACCCCATCATGCAACTGCAGTCTGAGCGGCATGGCCACACCGAAACACTTCCTGTTTTGTGCCTTGGTTGTCACATGATCTTCCATCTTCCACAAATGGAACAACAATCCCTGAACGCTGGCTGTTCATTGCATTTTTCATACACATGGTTTTTGCAGTGCCTCTCACACTGCAAAAGTATCCCCCCCCCCGAGAGAGAAGTGCTCAAATCTCCATTGCAGGTCCTGCACTAAAGCCAAACTTGAAGAGCAGACTGACACACTGAGAACCCACATCTCACAGCCGATCAATTCCCATCTTCCAGCTGCCAAAATATCAGTTAAGAAAGTAACAGTGAAGGATCATTTTATGCAACAGCCCTTTAAGGTCTGCTGACAGAAAGTGTCAGCTGCTCCCAGGCTGAATGCCGATTTTCCATGTCATTAGAATGCTTTTGAAAGCAGCCTAATGCTATCTGGTCTTTTAGTCCCCCCTGTGCAAAGACTAGTTGGCAGTTAAAAAACAGATACAGTTTACGCTGTTCTATTGTAACAGTGCATCGACAGAGACAGGCAGGAAATAACAGCTCATTACTACGCAGATGTGTACAATGGCCACATACTGGACTGCAGTGCCCAGTCCCAGCAGCCAGAGAGAGCAGTACTGACAGAGGACCCAAAGCACAGATGCTTAAGCTACAGTATTCTAAACTAATGTAGCGCTTTTCAAATTTTGCAATGCATAAAATGCACAATCACACACAGGCTCCCTTTTATCATGTAAGAAGTGTTTACAACAACAGAAAATTATCATCTCAGACCTCAAAAACCCATTAAGAGCGCAAGGCAGAATTCAAGATAGCCTTTTCCCATTGCTCAGTCTTCAGGCTTGAAGCAGCACAGAAGGATCTGACAGCTCAGTGGGACAATAGCAAAGCAAGCCATACAGTATCTAGTGTCTGAAGACATTCCAGCTCTGAATGACAGATAAATGAACAGCTCATGCACGCATTATTTAGTGTATAGTGTATTTACTGCTTTCAAGCTGTGGAGCACAAAAAGGAACTTTCATATTTATGTTGGCTTTAACAACAAAACTCACCAAGCAGAGGTCCAGAATAAAGCTTTTTTTTAATTAATCTGAGCAGCACACCCTGCTGTGGGTGTGGGGCATCAAGAAAATATACGTTTTAAAGATTTTAAAGAATGTGACCTAGTAATGGAATTCTAGAGTCTCAAGACAACAGTATTATCACATGTTGCCAATAAGCAATCTTGCTGAACATTTTAATTACATCTTGCTGAGTTATACGAACTTCAAATAAACCTAGGGCAGGGGTTACCGACCCTACTGACAAATACAGTTTAGCAAACATTCACAAAAACAAGGAAATCACCAGGAACAAAAAGAGCACTGCTGATCACGTCAAGCTGCAGGACAGTTTTGTGTAGAAACAATGCAATCGACGATAACCGCCACAGAAACCAACTTGCTTTTGAGATAACGATCCGTGAAGCACGAGAATTAACTTTTTGGCTCCAAGACAAGTCCTGGAGCTACAGTACCTTTAAGCCTGGTGATGGGGGATAAACATACACACACTTCTGCAATGATAGTAGACAGAAGTGCAAATATTAGCCCCCCCTCCTCCCATTACTCAGTGTTTGAGAGCAGCCCAGGTGTACTCATTAGTGGCAGGGGAGCGAGGGGGGGTGGAGTTAGGACACAGCGCTGGGGTCAGGCGCGTTAGTTTTGTTAGCACACACTTCGACCGCGGGGCTGCTCAGATTCGCCCTGTGACAGCTTGTAAACACAGACAAACACAGCTCTGCGGCGCTCGGGCAAGCCTGCGTCATGGTGCCATTTCTCCCGTCTGTTTGCTCGCGGATCACAGCATGTGATAAGAGGTGCCGAGAGCCAGCAGCACAGGCAGGGCATTAGTCTGCCCCCCCCCGGGGTGAAAGAGTCTGGTGGCATGAGCGCTTTGAGCACACCTCTTGGGTGCACTGGGTGAAGTGTCACACCATTGCCAATCTGCAGGGAGTGAGCTGAAGTGCAAAGCAATACACAAATCTGAGCGCGTTACAAGAACAGGACAGAGAGCCCACACAGCACCAGACCAGCACACTGAGAGCACGAGCCAAAGACAGAGCCTTAAGAAGTGAACGGTTTCATCATGGAGTCACACTGGCAGAGCAGGACAGCCATGCGGCCCATGAGACAGCAGAACCACAAACCCTGACACACGCGCACAGCTACCTCCGGACCCCTCCTCTTGAGCTGCGTCTCAATGGGCGGAATCAGGTGAGGGTGGTACAGCAAAGCTCTGTAATAGAAGCAAGAGCAGACCACCAGAGTTTACGGTGTTATTCCTCGGCACGTCTGTGCTTTTAACTTCTCGTGTGAGGCTGTGACCCGAGACCGATCTCCCGAACACTTTCCGCCCCACGGCCAGGAGGCAGACATCTCAGAACATTTCTGTGAAAGAAGCGAGCAGAACAAGAGAGAAAACATAAAGAAGAGACCTTTTTTTTTTCCCCAAGATGCTTTCTTGAGAAGCTTGGAGAAAAAAACCATGCTTGTTCCAGGTCTATCTGGTTTAATTTTGCCCGGTGCAGGTGAGTTTAGGATCATTATTGGCTCTAATTGGTCCTCACTCTGACTCCACGGGTTTTGCCTGTCGATAAAACGGGTCTCCATGGAGACAGCAGCTGTGTGAAGCCGGGGGGAAGCTCATTGTGGTGAAATGTGAGAGACACTGAACCTGGGCTCACTTCCCGGGCTGAGCCAGATTCCTGGAAGCAAGGCCAGCTTTCTTTCCAGTCCATTTGTGGGGGTTAAAAAAAAGTAACCTGCGAGCAGCACACAACGGTGCACTGGTGTGGCTCTTAAGCGCACTGCAGGGGCTAATCTTTCCCTCCTCCTGAAGATGGACCAGCTGTATCCCAATCTACTTTCAGAACAGTGCAACATTATGGACCTATGAAAAATGACTAATTTATTTTTACCCACTTATTTGGTTGATGCTTTTATCCGAAACAACTTGCATTTGCTCCCACTGATACAGCCGAGTGTTTTAATTAAACAATGCCCAAGTCTGCACTTGTGTTACAAGGCACAGAACCCCCATTTCTAAAAGCTTGCAGTATTATAATGTGGTTACAAAAAATTAAGACCGAGGAAATCATGGTAAAGATCGGTAGCGCATACAGTATAAAGGTGTGGTGGACATACTGTGCTTATTAGGACCAAGTAATAGGTTTATTCCATGCTGAAAAAAAGAAGAAAGAGAACACAACGTTTCGGCCGTGGAGCCTTCTTCAGGTGAAGAAGGCTTCCCTTCGAAACGTTGTGTCCTCTTTCTTCTTTTTTTCAGCATGGAATAAACCTACTACTTGTTCCTTTGCAGCCTACGCATGCTGACGCAGCTACCCACCTGAAATACTGTGCTTATTTACCAATATAAACTGCATTTTTAAACCAGCAGTCCTTTCGGTAATTATATACAGTACCTACAACACAACCTACTACAAGCAGGAAAAAGGAGGTTGGACAATCACAGCAGCGCTGGCAGCTGGGCATTGTGGATCGTGCAGGGCCTGAGGCAGACGGTCATGCAAATGCCAAGCAGGGAAGAGATGGAAATCACTGGATGCCAGGTAAGGCTGGGAGTGTGGTTCAGCACCTAGCAGCAGTTAATGCTGCAAACCTTCAGTGGTGCTGGCAAGCAGCTCTCCTATGGTACTGGTCCAGCAGCCCAGGTATTTGCAATGCATGGTCTCCCACAACAATTCCCAGGTGAGATAGCAGTGTCCATGTCACTACGCTGCTCTGCACCTCGGCAGTGTTGGGCTGTGACCAGTTACAAGCTTCTCTGGCCCCACAGCCATGCAGAGCCATTCCCCAGACATCAGAGCATCCCCCTACGCCAGAAGGCCAGGTCTCCCGTTGTGGGCGTGATTCAGTTTCTGAGGCTGTGACATCACTTTCCGTAACATCCTCAAAGCCCAACAGGCCCTGATACACTCTGTGTTTGACTGAAGCTGCAGAACGCCGGCCATCTTAAAACTGGCACAAGCTGAAGACTGCTTTTATGGCATTCAGAAGCTGTTCAAATCCACCAGGGTGGTGGTCTTTGTTTCTCCCATTTACTGCAAAAAGGAGGTCATTGTTTCTAGAAACCTGCAAGTGGAAGAGGCTCGGATTCTTGCTCTGGATGGGTGGGGCTTCCACAGAACAAGCCCAAAACATTCTTGGGGTGCCATGACAACCGCCTCCTCACTGTGTCTGTGCTGGCTTCCTGCTTGAAATTCAGACCCACAGTGAGGAAACTCAGTCTGGAGTCAGAGAGAGTGCAGCATCGCTGTGTCGAGTGTTGCTTTAAAAAAAATTATGACTGGAGTACATTCTGTACTTATAAAAACAAAACACGCATAGACAATAGCCAGGCCACTGAAAAGCAGTATGGCTCAATTCATATTGTGCCCCACTGAACCGACATCTAAATGTTTACATAGCCTCCTATTACTTAATTTTATTTAATTCCACGATAAGGCTTATTTAACTTGGCAAAGGCCACCGGCTGGGGGCTCATGACTCTTTCTGTGGGTGTGTACGCCCAGCTCAAACTTTCCACGGCTTGTGTCTAGCTTCCTTCGGGACAGGGTGTCATCTTTAAACAGCGATCGGTCTCGCCACGCTGCCTGATAAGAGTAAAAGACAAACCAGACTTAAAGCTCATACATGCAGACAGGGAACCTCACGGGGAACGGGCTGGGATTATTTTGGGACCATTTTTCTCCATTGTAACAATAATGTGAAATGGCATGTGTGGAGTCAATAACGTTCTCCTGGTTTGTGTTGCACTGTTGTACAGTGTGCAGTATTTTATTATATACAGATTTTACTGTACCTTACACGGTATTGTTACACTTAATGTGCATTAAGCTGTGACATACTGTGTATTGGGTTGTATTGTGTAGCTTTTTCTTATGGTGAAAGTGTATATATATTTGGATATATATTTCAGAACCTGTGATCTTAAAAACAAATGAAAGCAGTTCACCTCATTGCCTGAATCTGGAAACAAAGTAGGAGATTAAATTTATCTCTATATGTTAGACCCAATCCCTTCATGCTATAAGGAATAATATTATAATATTAATTTT